CCCCCCCCCCCGGTGGGAAATGGCCTCAGCACCAAAGTCTCCCCTTCCTTTATAGAAGAAACCTGTGGGCTGCGGGTGGGCCAGGCTGTTTCCCGCTGAAGCTTCCGCTTCTTGTCTTTTCTCCATTGATTCTGCACACAATTATTTGATACTCTTCTGTGCCAGGCCCGGTGCCAGGCTCTAGGATAGAGGGACTAGCCAGTCTCAGCCCTCCAATGGATCGCAGGCTGGTGGGGGAGACAGAGCAGTGAACAGGCCATCACAATTCAGGGTGCAGCGCTGGGGGACATACCTGGTGCTCGGACCCCGGGAGAGGGGGGTGGCCACAGAGCTCTACCCTGAAGGGCCAGGGAGAGTCGAGCGCAGGAGACCACGCATGCAATAGGTGTTTAATAAATGAGCAAAGCTGAGTCTTCTCCCGGCTGCAGGCCTGACGTCAGACTTCCCCCCCCTCCAGGGCTCCACGGCCCCTGGGGGGCGCCAGCCCTCCCCAAGCCCCTCTATGTGTCCCTTCTCACTTATCTCCGTCCCCCTACAGGAGGTGCCCTGCTCTCGGGCCCTTCCCAAGGGTCTCTGGCCGGGACAGGTGATCGTACTGCGGGGGCTGGTCTTGCCAGAGCCAAAGGAGTAAGTATGCAGATGGGAGGGAGAGAGAAGCAGCTCTGAGCCACGCACGAGCTTTGCAAGAATTTCCTCTTTCGTCTCCAACACTACCGCTCAATCGCTGAGTCTGTGGTTGGGACAGGTGCTCAGGCTGCCTCCATGGCCCCGACAGCCCCAGTGCTGGGAGTATCTTCCCCGCCGGTACATCTGGGCGGGCCAACCAGCCTCTCGTCGCAGGTCCCAGCTGGGACTTCGGGAAAGGTCCTTTAAAGGCTCAGGCTGAGACCCAGAGGGCAAACTCCACCTCCCAGGGCGCCCCAGAGAGGAGGCATTGGGAGCTTGGAACGACACACGAACTACGCGGGCGCTGCCTGACCTCTCCCACAGGGGGCGCTCCTGCTCCATTCCCTAAACCCAGGGCTCCAAGCCAGACTAGTCTTTTCTTCCTTTCTCCCCTTCTTTCCTCCTTTCCTGTCTCCTTTCCTTCTTGCTGGAATCACGCTGGATTTCATGACTTTTCCGGGCCAGATCCCCCGGGTTTGACTTCTGCTGAGGACACTACCTCCCTGTGCACCCTCAAGGCAGTTTCTTTTCCCTTCTGGGCTTCAATTTCCTTGTCTGTAAAAAGTGGTCATAATACTTCCAGCTTCAGGGGTGGGTGCAGGCTTAGAATTGTGCCAAGCACATAGTAAGGGCTCCACAAATGTGGTAGGGGCACAATTGTCTCCGTGGAGGGGCAGGAGAGGAAGGAGCGTGCCCCGTATTCTCCCTTTCTGTTTTGGGTTTTTTTATTTTTTTATTTTTTTTAATTTTTTTCAACGTTTATTTATTTTTGGGACAGAGAGAGACAGAGCATGAAGGGGGGAGGGGCAGAGAGAGAGGGAAACACAGAATCGGAAACAGGCTCCAGGCTCTGAGCCATCAGCCCAGAGCCCGACGCGGGGCTCGAACTCCCGGACCGCGAGATCGTGACCTGGCTGAAGTCGGACGCTTAACCGACTGCGCCACCCAGGCGTCCCTTGGTTTTGGTTTTTAAAGCACTGACCTCACTAGACTGTTGCCCTGCACGCTCTTGATCAGGCCTGCGAGCTCTGGGACAGGCTGGCAACACAGCCCTGGAGGGCACCGACCTCCACAGCCTGGCACAACTGGGTTGGAATCCTGGTTTTGCCTCCTATAAACTATGTGCTCTTGGGGAAGTCACTACACCTCTCTGAGGCTGGACTCCCGAGTTTCCCCATCAGAAGTAAAAGAAAGATCGTCTCCGTCATAAAGGGAAAATGAAAGAGATCCCAGCGATAGGAGGAACACCCTCCCCAACAAAACTTGGAGACATGACACCAGCTTTACATCCTAGCTCAAAGTCGAATGGTCATTTATATTTTTTTTTTGAGATTTAATGATCTATGTTAATTTTTTATCTTTTTTGAATCCAAATATATATTTTTTTCAGGAGTAGAATTTAGTGATTCATCACTTACATCTCCCTTACATATAACACCCAGAGATCATCCCAACCAGGGCCCTCCCTAATGCCCCTCACCCCCTCGCCCCCTTAGCCCATCCCCCTACCCAACGCCCCACCAGCAACCCTCAGTTTATTCTGTATTTAGGAGTCTCTTGTGGTTTGTCTCCCTCTCTGGTTTTATATTATTTTTGCTTCGCTTCCCTTACGTTCATCTGTTTTGTATCTTAGATTCCACATATGAATGAAATCATATGATATTTGCCTTTCTCTGACTGACTTATTTCACTTCGCATAATGCACTTGAGTTCCATCCACGTCGTTGCGAATGGCAAGATTTCATTCTTTTTCATTGTCGAGTAATATTCCATTGAATGTATATACCACATCTTCTTTATCCATTCATCAGTTGATGGACACTTGGGCACGTCCCATGCTTCGGTTATTGTTGATAGTGCTGCTATAAACATTGGGGTGCATGTTCCCCGTCGAAACAGCACACCTGTATCCTTTGGATAAATGCCTAGCAATGCAATTGGTGGATCGTAGAGTAGTTCTATTTTTAACTTTTTGAGGAACCTCCATATTGTTTTGCAGAGTGGCTGCACCAGTTTGCATTCCCACCAGCAGTGCAAAAGAGATCCTCTGTCTCCGCCTCCTCGCCAACATCTGTCCTTGCCTGAGCTGTTAACGTTAGCCACTCCGACAGGTGTGAGGTGGTATCTCATTGTGGTTTTGATTTGTGTTTCCCTGATGATGCGTGATGTGGAGCATTTTTTCATGTCGGTTGGCCATCTGGATGTCTTCTTTGGAGAAGTGTCTATTCACGTCTTTGGCCCCTTTCTTCACTAGATCATTTGGTTTTGGGGTGTTGAGTTTGAGAAGTTCTTTATAGATTTTGGATACTAACCCTTTATCTGCATGTCATTTGCAAATATCTTCTCCCGTTCTGTTGGTTGCCTTTTAGTTTTGTTGACTATTTCCTTTGCTGTGCAGAAGCTTTTTATCTTGATGTGGTCCCAATAGTTCATTTTTGCTTTTGTTTCCCTTGCCTCTGGAGACATGTCGAGAAGTTTCTGCAGCCGAGGTCAAAGAAGTTGTTGCCTGTTTTCTTGTCTAGGATTTTGATGGCTTCCTGTCTTATGTTTAGGTCTTTCATCCATTTTGAGTTTATTTTTGTGTCTGGTGTAAGAAAGGGGTCCAGGTTCATTTCTCTGCTTGTCGCTGTCCAGTTCTCCCAACACCATTTGCTGAAGAGACTGTCTTTTTTCCACTGGATATTCTTTCCTGCTTTGTCAAAGATTAGTTGGCCATACTTTTGTGGGTCCATTTCTGGGTTCTCTATTCTGTTCCGTGGGTCTGAGTGTTTTTGTGCCAGTGCCATACTGTCTTGATGATTACAGCTTTGTAATACAGCTTAAAGTCCGGGATTGTGATGTCTCCAGCTTTGGTTTTCTTTTTCAGGATTGCTTTGGCTATTCGGGGTTTTTCTGGTTCCATCCAAATTTTAGGATTGTTTGTTCTAGCTCTGTGATGAATGCTCATGCTATTTTGGTAGGAATTGCATTGAATATGTAGATTGCTTTGGGTAGTATCGGTATTTTAACAATATTTGTTCTTTCAATCCATAAGCATGGAATGTTTTTCCATTTCTTTGTATCGTCTTCAATTTCTTTCACAAGCTTTCTATAGTTCTATAGTTTTCAGTTTTACAGATTTTCCACCGCTTTGGTTGGGTTTATTCCTGGGTGTTTTCTGGTTTTTACTATAATTGTGAATGGGATCGATTCCTTGATTTCTCTTTCTGCCGCTTCATTATTGGTGTAGAGAAATGCAACCAATGAAAAGTCAAATGGTTATTATTAGTGACACGGCAAGTCATTTAACTGCTCTTCCTCAAGGACATCGAATTCACATGCCCTCAGAGGCCTGACAGGTCACAGAAATAGCGACGCGCTGGGCTGGGAAGGCAAAGTGGAAAGAACATTTCCATAGACCCGCTCATGCCAGATCTTCTGATCATCTTAAAAGAGAAGCTGGACGCCACTTTTGTACAAACCTTCTCAGCTTTTGCCCACAGTAGAAGTCGAAGAACACGATGGAACAGCCTGGACATTTCTCCAGGCCACTTCAGCCGTGGGCCGCCCACATCAAGACGTAGCACGGTGCCTGGCATTTAGCAAGCCTGCAACAGATGTTGGCTGTCACTGTTGTTTTCTGGAAGCGACCGTGGCTTGAATTGGACAGAGAGAGTAGGAGTTAGAGGGCATGGAACTCGCCTGCATTAAACATCTGTCCTTTCCTCTCCAGCCCTCCCCCCAATCACTGAGGCTGTGGGGGTGTGGCTACAGCTGCTAAGAGGTTCCACAGAACTTCTCTAGGTGTCTGTGGGGGCGGAGCCTGTTGCCCGGCCTGGGGCTGTGCTGGATAGGGCCAAGCTGGGGTGGGAACGCTGAATTCTTAGGCCAATGGGAAGGCAAAGACTTTTCCGGGGAAGCACGGGGGCAAGGGTTTGGGGCTGGAGGCAGGGTCCCTGCCTTCCAAGCTTCTTCCCAGTGGCGAGCCCTTGCCGGCCCCCACCCAAGGCTGGAAATGTACGGGGCGTCCTCCTGGCCCAGGTCCAGCAGGATCCCTTTTCCACACGTTGCCCTCCCACGGGCATCCTGGCCTCCCAACTGTCAACCGCCTCCTGCTAAGGGGTCAGTCACCAGCAGCTTCGGGGGTTTTGTTTCAAAGGCGACTTTGGAAGCTCCCAAGACATGAGACAGAATCTGGCTGCCCTGTGAGGGGCAGACGCCAGGCAGCAGGAAGCCCCCCAGATCTGGCGTCCTACATTGTTCGCATCGCAGCGCAAAGCCCCACAGCTCTTACTAGTACCAGAGTCAGTCTGGGAACTTCTCGTCCCCGTCGGTTATATGGGCCGATGAGCCTCCAGGCATAGGATTTCTGAGAGGACTCCGGAGAAGCTAACAGTAGGCGGTAAGACACCTCCTGTGTGCCAGGTACTTGCTAGATCTCCCGTCCGTTATCTCCTTTGTTCCTATCAGTGGCCCTATGAGATAGGTATTGTATTACATAGCAGTATTTTTCATTTTATTTTTATTCTTATTTTTGTAATGCTTATTTATTTTTGAGAGAGAGAGACAGAACGGGACTAGGGGAGGGGCAGAGAGACAGAGGGAGACCCAGAATCCGAAGCAGGCTCCAGGCTCTGTCAGCACGGTGCCCGACGGACGCGGGGCTCGAACCCACGGACTGTGAGGTCATGACCTGAGCTGAAGTCAGACACTCAACCGACTGAGCCCCCCCGGGCGCCCCCATAGTAGTATTTTCTAAACACTAGATGTGATTCGCGTGCTTATTACGTGCCAGGTCCCGTTCTCACACTTTACCTATGTTAACTCAGTTCTCACAACTCATGAGGCAGGTACGGTACTCTTCTCCCCACTTGACAGATGAGGAGACTGAGGCACAGAGACAGTGCCTTGCCCAAGCTCGCAGGACTAGAAAGTACCAGAGCAGAGCTGAAGCCGGGTAGCCTGGCTCTAACCCCTATAGCTATTTTCAAAACACTTAAGGCAACACCTGCCGTATGGTAAATACTGGTAAATACTGGCGACTACTGATACAACGATCCCCATCTTGCCGAAGGGGAAATGAGGCTCCGACAAGGTCACGTGCTCCGCCGTGGTCCCCGCCCGGCCCCGTGGCTGCAGCTGTGCTCAGGTGTCCCCACCCCTCCGAGCCGCCGAACCTTCCAGCTGCTCTCCCACATCCGCCCCTCCCCTCAGGATCCCGCAGCCACAGCTCAGGGGCGGCCCCTTCTCCGACCCCCTCTTGCAGCCTCACGCTGAGCCTGCGGGACGAGGCGGCTCACGTTCCTGTGACGCTCAGGGCTTCCTTCGCAGACAGAACTCTGGCCTGGATCGCGCCCTGGGGGTGCAAGAAGCTGATCTCGGCCCCCTTCCTGTTCTACCCCCGGCGATTTTTTGAGGTCAGTCCGAGCCGCAGCCTCATCCCGTCTGGCGGGAGCCGAAAGCTGCATTCCCGTGGGGAGCCAGGGGTGCGTCCTGGGGAGGGGTGGAGGATGCGGGGCTGGGGCCAGAGCCTGCCAGAGAAAACATCTGTGCCACGGCTCTCAACCCCCTACTCCCCAGACGCGGATTTAATTAATCGGGGCTGCCCCTGGCATTAGTGTTATTTTTTTTTTTTAGATGAAATTTATTGTCAAACTGGTTTCCATACGACCCCCAGTGCTCATCGCGACAGGCGCCCTCCTCCATGCCCATCACCCTCATTGGTGTTATTTTTTTTTTAATTTTTTTTTTTTTAACGTTTATTTATTTTTGAGACAGAGAGAGACAGAGAATGAACAGGGGAGGGGCAGAGAGAGAGGGAGACACAGAATCCGAAACAGGCTCCAGGCTCTGAGCGGTCAGCACAGAGCCCAACACGGGGCTCAAACTCACGGACCGTGAGATCATGACCTGAGCCGAAGTCGGACGCTTAACCGACCAAGCCACCCAGGCGCCCCTCATTGGTGTTACTTAAAAAAAGAAAAAGCCCCCCTAATGACTCCAAAGTGCAGCCAGGGTTGAGCCCATTGCTCGAGGGCACGCAGCCGGCACAGAGGGTGAAACTGAGGCCCAGGGCTGAGACGATCCTTGTGGAAAGGTCACAGTGATCTGGTGACAAGCGGGGCACCCAGTCCTGCCCTTTCCCACCACCGGGCGCCCTACGGTTCCCGTCTTTGTGAGCTCTGAGCGGAGGGCTTGCTGGGTGGGGCATCGGGCAGGCAGTGCACCGCCTGTCTGTCTGTCTGTCCGTCTGGGAGCCTGCAGGGCCCTCTTGTCCTTTTCCAGGTGCTGCTCCTGTGCCAGGAGGGAGGGCTGAAGCTGGCGCTCAACGGGCAGGGCCTGGGGGCCACCGGCGTGCACCGGCAGGTCCTGGAGCAGCTGCGGGAGCTCCGGATCAGTGGCAGTGTCCAGCTCCACTGTGTCCACTGCTGAGGAGTGAGCCAGGGGCCTCGCCAGGGAAGAGAAGGACCCGCCCACGCTCGGCACCGCTTTAAGCGGCTCCGCTCTCCTCCCTTCGATACGCTGTGCACCTGTCACCCCCCTGCTTTCGGAGGCCCCAGCCTGGGATTGGCACCCCCTGCGTGCACTCGCATCTCATCCACAAGCACTCGGTCCCGGGGCCACGCTGTGTGCAAGGAAGGCTAAAAATGACTCTCCAGCGGGATGGCCGTGTGCCCGGCCACGGTGCTACTGCTGTGATTCCTGGTATATCTGGGGCGTTCCTGGTATGTCTGTTTATACCATCTGATTCTGTGGCCTCCACTTCCGGTGCTATTTTTCCTTGTATTTTCAGCTTGCCTGCTTGCTGTCGGGTTGATGAAATCTTTATCACCCTCCCTACCTTTCTTGTCTTCTACTGGGTTGGAAGTTGTAACTGCATTTACACTTCTAGTGGTTTTCCTTACTTTTTCTTTTTCTTTACTGTTTATTTATTTATTTTGAGAGACAGAGAGAGAGAGAGAGAGAGAGAGAGAGAGAGAGAAAGCAAGTGGGGGAGGGGCAGAGAGAGAGAGAGAGAGAATCCCAGGCAGGCCTCTACACTGTATCAGGCCACAGCCCGACACGGAGCTCGAACTCACAAACCGTGAGATCATGACCTCACCTGAAATCAAGAGCCAGACGCTCAGCCAACTGAGCCACGCAGGTGCCCCATTTTTTATTATTTTAGTAGTAGTAAGATTGACTTGGGGAATGGGTAAAATTCTGAGTTTTAACACGTACGGAGGTTTGTGTAACCACGACCGCCACAATCAGGACATGTGAAGACCCCATCACTCCAAAACCCTCTCTTGTGTCACTGCTTTGTAATCATACCTCCTTCATGCCTCCCCTAACCCCAGCAACCGAGGATCTGTTTTCCACTCCTACGCGTGGCCTTTTTTGGAAATGCCGTATCAATGGAATCCTACAGTATCTGACCTGTTGAATCTGGTTCCTTTCATTGTGCATCATCGTTTTAGATCCTTCTAAGTAGCTGTCGGCATCAGGGACCAGTTCTCTTTATTACTCAATAGTATTCCATTGTGCCACAGTTCATTTACCTACTGACCCATCGAAGAACACTTGGGTGGTTCCAGGTTTGGGCAGTCATGAGTAGAGGTACAAGTCTTTGATGAACATGAGCTGTAATTTCTCTAGGGTAGGTACCAGGTAGTGCGATTTCTGGATCATACGATAAAGGCACCTTTGACTTTATCAGACACTGCCCAACAATTTTCCAGAGTTATTTCAGAGTGGCTGTGCCATTTTGCATTCCCACCAGCAACGTGGGAAACTTCTAGTGGTTCTGCATCCTCGTACTTGTGATTGTCAGTGGGTTTTTTTTTTTTTTGTTTGGGTTTGGTTTTTGTTTTTTAATTTTTTTAATGTTTATTTATTTTTGAGAGAGAGAGAGACACACACAGAGCGGGAGCGGGGAAGAGGCAGAGAGAGAGGGAGGCACAGAATCCAAAGTAGGTTCCAGTAGGTGTGGCAACACAGAGCCCGATGCGGGGCTCGAACTCACGAACCGTGAGATCATGACCTGAGCCAAAGGCGGATGCTCAACCGACTGAGCCACCCAGGCGCCCCTCTTTTCTCCATGTTTTAACTGAGTTGTTGGCCTTTTTACCCTTGACTTTGAAGGGTTCTTTATACAAGCTGGATAGAAGTCCTTTGTCAAATATGCTACTTGTAAAGAATTTCTCCCCATCTTAGCTTGTCTTTTCATTTGGTTTCTTCCACCGAGTATCAGTTGGGTTTTGGTGAAGTCCAGTTCAACAATTTTTTCTTTCATGGATTATCCTTTTGGTATCATAGCTACAAACTCTTCGTCTAGTGAGAATTTCTCCTTTGTTTCCCTCTGAAAGCTGTATACTTTTGATAAGTAATGAAATTGAACCAACTAAACCCAGAGATCTAACAGGCTTTGTGAAACCATTCATGTAGGGCGGGCTCCCCATGTGGCAAGCAGAGAGGCGCTCCAAGGAGTTAAACAAAATGGAAGGTTCTTATTAGCAAGAAAAGATTGGTCCAGGCAGGCCTGCTTTCTAGGGGAAAAGGCAAGGGGTCTTATCATGACCTCATCTTTCTTTGGGGGGTGGAGGGGACCCAGGTGCTCACTGATGCTGATGGAAAGAAAAATTTCCTGACTGGTTGAGGCCACATTTCTGGGGGAGGTTGAAACTCCAATCAGATCGGGGATTGAGCCTCAGTTTGGGAATGTAATCTAAGCGATGCCATTTGGGGCCTGCTGTCTTCTTTTTGAGCAACCTCAATAAACCCAACTTAAATAAAAAGACTAGTCTGGAGGGGCGCCCGGCTGGCTCAGTTGGAAGAGCATGCGACTCTTGATCTTGGGGTCGTGAGTTTGAGTTGGGTGTAGAGATTACTTAAATAAATAAATAAATAAATACTTAAAAAAAAAAAAAAGACTAGTTCGTGGAAAGTAAGAACGTGACAATCAGGGCTCGTTCAATTATTTTATGAAATGATTAGAGAGAGCACCTTGTTTTCATTACTTACATATTAACAACCCTCTGTTAAAAGGGAAGTTTACGCTGAACTACATTCCAAAGCCATCTCCCGGACCAAGGCACGGATATTTTCCGAGGGAGATCGGCGACTCCCTCCCACAGCCGCTCTCTGACTGCACATTCCAGACATCCTGGGAGTCCTTAAAACATGCCAGTTCCTGGTGCCCACCCCAGAGGGACGAAATCAGAATGTCTGGGTGTGGGGCCTGTGCCTCGGAATATTTTAGGAGCTCCCAGGAGATTCTGACATGCAGCTAGGATTGGAAATGACTGTTTCAGGCCCCGAAGACTCTGGACATTTCTGTACCTTTACATATCAAATTGCTCCAGGAAAGAAAAAGGCCTAGTGACCAGCCCGCTGAGAGCAGGGCTTGAGAGATGGGACCCCAGCAGGGTGGGGATCGAGGGTAAGATGAAGTAGCAATGCCAGAGAAGAGGGGGACACCCCAAATTAGGGAGCCAAGCCCCTCAGGCATACCAAGAACGGGAGGGAGAGTAGAGAATGTGCCAGACTCAAAGGGACAAGATCTATGCTGATGAGCCTCAAGTAGACCCCGTGACCTCTCTGGTCTTCAGTTCCTTCCCTGTAGAATGAGGATAAGTCATTGCTCTGATCGCCCCACAGGGCTGTGGGGCTCACGTGGGAGCAGCCCTCTCAGCTTTCCAGCACTTTCCAACACATTTCATTCCTGTAAAAACCCTGTGCTGTAACAGGATAAGGATGACACAGGGCCGACCGGCCGAGTAATTTGTCAGAAGGTCACAGAGCGGGTCTCGGGGTCCTCGATTCAGGAACCAGCTCTTCCTGTCTCCTGGTCAGGAGCTCTCCACTGATTATCCTCTTGAACGTGGTTCCCAAGGCATACAGCCCGAGTTCAAGTCCTGCTGTCTCTACGAGCTTAGAGGTCATGGCTTTGGGCAAATTCAGCGCATCCGCGTGGCAAGGTACGAACGGTTACATCAACCCAGCGGGATGGTTGTGAAGTGAGGAGTCAAAATTGCTTAAAATGCTGCGTACTGACTTGGAACTCAATAAACAGTGGCGCTTGCCGGACATGTGAATAATCAAATGTCGCCCCCTCCCCCCCAACCCCCTCCCCCGGCATGAGCAGAACCAGGCGGATGGCCCCGTGCTCCCGGCCACTCAAGGACATTCTCAACCAGGTCTCCAGGCATGGCGCTTGGCGCACCTCCTGGGAAGCCAGGGAGGTGAGAACGCGGGCCGCGTAAGGGATGTCCGGCCCTGCTGCGCCTCTCACGGGGTCCCCTCAGCGCGGGGCCCAGATGCTAGAGTCTGGGAAAAATGACCCGCGCTCCCACCCCCCAAGTCGTGGAGAAGGAGGGAGGGTCCCAGGACTACACATGTGTCTGCTGAGCACACGTTCATTAGGTGTGTGTTCACGTACCTGTGTGGTTGCGTTTCCGCACCTGTGTCGTCATGACGCCATGTGTCCCAGCATCTTTCCGACGTGTCCAAGCACCACTCCCAGAAGTCCCCGTGGAGTCCCTTCCCTCCTCGGAGGCTGACCCTCGAGCCCAGCACCCCCCAACTCGTGGTGTCCATGGCCACGGTGAGGCTCCTCCTTAGATTCCCCTCCTGGCCTTGGGATGCCATTCTCTCTTGGCTGGTGTCCTGACCGGCAGCTCGGGCAGGGAGCAGGATCTCGGG